ACATTTTCAATGTAAGTCTCCTGAGATAGCCAAATCTTCTTTTTCTTCCTATCACGAAGAATATTCATGCCAAGTATTTGTTTCACCGATCCCAAGTCTTTCATAGCAAAAGACTTACTTAGCTCTCTTTTAAGCTTTCCAATTTTTCCAACATCATGGCCAAGGTTCGCAATACCGTACCGTACCGAAGTTTCGACCTGGGCTCGGTACCGGTACGGTACGGTATACCGCTCGGTACACCCAGGTGTACCGAGCGGTATATTCAGGCGTGCCGAGCACTGTAGCACTGCTACAGTACTGCTACAGTACCAGACCGGTAACAGGCGGTCCGCGTACCGAAAGCCTGTCGGACCGGTACGGCAAACCATGATCATGGCCAACAATCAGCATATCATCAACATATAGCAGTAAAATAATAAAATCATCATCTGAAAGTTTCTTCATAAACACACAATGATCAGATGTGGTTCTATCATACCCTTGGCTCATCATAAAGGAATCAAACTTCTTATACCACTGTCTAGGTGCTTGTTTGAGTCCATATAAGCTTTTCCTAAGCTTACACACCATATTTTCTTTTCTCTTGACTTTGAAACATTCTGGTTGCTCCATGTAAATTTCTTCTTCTAAGTCACCATGAAGAAATGTTGTTTTCACATCAAGTTGCTTAACTTCTAAATTCAAGCGGGCAGCCAAACCAAGAACAACTCGAATAGAGGACATTTTCACAACTGGAGAAAATATTTCTTCAAAGTCAATGCCTTTCTTTTGACTGAATCCTTTCACAACTAGCCGTGCCTTGTATCTTTATTGTGAGCCATTGTTTTTAGTCTTCAATTTGTAAACCCACTTATTCTTGAGAGCTTTCTTCTCTTTAGGTAATTTTACCAAGTCATAGGTGTGGTTCTCAAGCAAGAATCTCATCTCTTCTTGCATGGCTTTAATCCACTCACTCTTATTCTCATGTAAAATAGCTTCTTGGTAAGTTTCTGGCTCTCCCCCATCAGTAAGCATAACATACTCATGTGGAGGATATCTGATAGATGGTTGTCGCTCTCTAGTGGATCTTCTAAATGGAATCTCAACTGGTGATGGAGGTACTTGTTCAATTGGTTCAGCATCATCAACTGTAGGTGTATCATCACTGGTATTCTCACCACAATCTTTTTGTTCATCTCCCCCATGATCATCATGAACTACAGGTGAAGGAACTGGACCCAAACTCCAAGGAATATAAACAGAGGTTTCTGACTTCTCAATATTATCACCATCATCAAACAATTTGTTTTCAAGAAACACAACATCTCTGCTTCTAATAATCTTCTTGTTCACTGGATCTCATAATCTGTACCCAAATTCTTCATGACCATATCCCAAGAAGATACATGCTTTTGCTTTACTATCAAGCTTAGACCTCTCATCTTTGGGAATATGAACAAATGCTTTACACCCAAAGACTCTTAAGTGATTATAAGATATATCTTTTCCTCTCCATACTCTCTCTGGAACATCACCTTTCAGAGGAACTGATGGAGAAAGATTTATCAGATCAACTGTAGTTCTCATAGCCTCCCCCCAAAATAACTTTGGTAACTTGGCGTGGGAAAGCATACACCTAATCCTTTCTTCAATGGTTCTGTTCATCCTTTATGTCACACCGTTCTGTTAAGAAGTTTTAGGAACTGTTTTCTTAAGCCTGATACTATGAAACCTGCAATAATTCTCAAAAGGACCCCTGTACTCGCCACCATTATCTGATCGAATACACTTTAGTTTTCTGCCAGTTTCTCTTTCAACACTAACATGAAACTTCTTGAAAACATCGAGTACCTGATCTTTAGATTTCAAAGCAAAAGCCCACACTTTCTAGAATGGTCATCAATAAGAGTAATAAAATAAAGAGCACCTCCAAAAGTTCTAGTTTACATAGTACAAACATCAATATGAGCTAAATCAATAACATCTGATCTTCTAGATGATGGATATGTATGAAATGCAACTCTATGTGTTTTTCCAGCTAAGCAATGATCACAAGATTTAAGAGATGTACCTTGCAACTCTAGTAAGAACTGCTTTCTAGCAAGAGTTTGAAGTCCCTTCTCGTTGATATGTCCAAGCCTCTTATGCCAAAGATCTATACTTTCACCTTTTTGAATTGCATTAATCTCTCCTTTGTGTAGCTTAGCTTCCATGACATAAAAAGAGTTAAGTTTCTTTCCTCTTGCCACAATCAAAGAACCTTTAGTGAGTTTACATTTGCTTTCACCAAAATAGTGTGCAAAGCCCTCATCATCAAGTCTACCTATAGATATCAAGTTAAGACGAATATCTGGAACATGCCTTACATCTTTGAGTATCAATTTGCTCCCAATATTGGTCTCCAAGCAAATATCTTCAATACCCACAATCTTAGATGTACCACTGTTTCCCATTCTGACATTACCAAAATCACCAACAGTGTAAGATCTAAAGAAATCACCATGAGAAGTAACATGAAATGAAGCACCGGAGTCAATTACCCAATTACTGTCCTGAGCTATAAGACTAACACAACCGTCATCACAAACAATAGTGATATTACCTTCAGCAGCAATTGTATTGGTCTCTTTCTCGTTTTTCTTCATGTCATTCTGTTCTCGCTTCCAAAACCTACACTCTTTATTCATGTGACCTAGCCTGTAATAGTGAAAACATTTGATATCTCTTCTAGACTTGGATCTTCCTCTATAACCATATGGGTTTCTACTATGACTTCTTCCACGTCTTTCTTGTTTTTTAGTAACAAATGCACCAGAAGAAGATTCACCATGTTCTTTTCTTCTGGCATCTTCATTTAGCAAACTGTCTTTAACCATATCTATAGTTAGAGTTCCCTCTGGCGTGGAGTTACAAATTGTCACCATATATGTTTCCCAACTTTCTAGTAAAGAGCTGAGAAGTAGTAATCCTTGCATCTCATCATCTATATTCATTTTCATAGCAACCAGCTTGTTTGCAAGACTCTGAAATAGGCTTATATGCTCAACAATATTACCACCATCTTTATACTTCAAATTTACAAGCCTTCTGAGGAGAGAAATTCTATTTCCCACTGTCTTTTTCGCAATGAGGTTTTCTAACCTTTGCCAAACAACATCAGCTCTGGTTTCATCATAAATATGCTCATGCAAATTTATATCCATCCATCTTCTAATATAGGCAATAGTTTTTCTATGTTGAACTTCTCATTCTTCATCTTCTAAGATTTGCAATAGAGCAAATCTTCCATCAGACGCCTCCAAGTGGAATAATTTGATGAGTTCAATTTAATCATACCATCTGACTGCTCCATTTCAATCACACAAGAAAAACTAGTACCAAACAACCTGTTGCTCTGATACCACTTGTTGGAAAAAAACCTATTGCAACGAAATATTCTTTTCCCTCTTTGTGTATCAAAATGAGTTCCTCATCAAAATACCAACTTGACATCCAAATGAAAATATCAACCAACATAGCATAAACAATAGAGCAAAAAATCAATCACACAATGAGACCAAATCTTTTAACGTGGAAAACCCAATGTGGGAAAAACCACGGGACCGTAGTCCACCTCAAACTTCCACTATCAATAGTAATGATAACAGGTTTACAATAAGTCTTCTCTAGAATAATCAGAGGATCACAATAACATCAAGAACATAGATCTTGGCTCTAGCATATCGTCATATAGGATGGATCTCCTCAAAAGAGAATTATAAGTCTCACAGAGTGGATATAGCAGGAAAGTACCTTAGAGAAGGTAAACTGTAGATCAACACCGTTAGGATTGTAGAGTTTGCTGCAAGGATTCTCCACATCAAATTTGGGCCAAAACTGACAACGTTTGGCCACCGATCGTCAAGCAAAAACTCAAAAACCTAATCTTTCTCTCTCCTTCTCTCTCTCTCTTCTTTTCTCTCTCTTGTCATGTGCTGTCATCGTTCACACCATGTACGAAAAAACTTTCCTCTCTCTCATGTTTTACCCTATCTCACATCTTTCTCTTTTAATTGTTGATTTAGGCTCAATAGGCCCAATTGTCCAAGCCCACATATGGGCTGGACCCAACACTCCGTAATGGCCTTTTCGACTAGGATGATTGTCACCAGCAAGGACAAAGCCAAGGCTATGGAGAGGGCCCTGATAGGCTGTATGTTCATCTGTTCCCTTGTCCCTCTCCCTGTGCTGCTAGCCATGACTGCTGTGACTACAGGCTGCCGGGAACTAAAAGGCAGGGAAGAGAGAGAGCAGGAGAAGAATGAGGAGATCCAGGCAAGGGATGCACAACAAGGGACTGGAGGATAAGAGTTTCAGCTTACCATGGTATTGCAGCATGAATGCTTCAAGTAAATTAACCGCTCAATCTATCAAGTTCAACATGCATACAGTTATATGTTACCATTACTTGGTTCAGGTAAGTTTATTCCAAGTTTCCAAACTATTAAATGGAAACCAAAACCAAAAATAACCACTTTTAACCCGCTCAAACGGATACAAATCTGAACTATGGTAGAAAATAAGCTAATTTTGTTGATAAGAGTGTTAGCCGAGGACCTAAAATCTATAAAATAAAAAAGTTCAACTAGGAAGATTCTAGAGATGGAATGTACATGGACTTCATGTTACTTTACATCTATAATGTTGGATTATACGTTTTGTATACAAATACGGCAATTAGAATCATTTTACAGCAACATAAGTCATAAAAGTATTGTGGGTCAGGATGTGTAATTTGGATTGCAGATGTCTAATATTCAATTCGTATTTACAGACTTGCAGGCAGACAAACGGAAGGCAATAAGCTGATTGAAATCAGATGGTGACTAATTGTTGATGGCCAAATGCATCTTTGGTGAACTGAAGAATGACAATAGAAATTTCAAAATTTGTAATTGTAATAGACCATCTTAAATGTAGACATGAGTCCTACATCTACAGTTATAGAATGCAGGAACCTCAAATGTGTTTCATGATAACAG